CGCTCCGTCGGGCACGCGGCGATGGGCGAGAGGGCGTCCCCGCCGCCGGGGGTGCCGATGCGGCCTCGCCTACAGCACCACGTCATGCAAACCTGCAACCACACCCTCGCGGAACTCCTCGGCGACGAGGAAGAACCCTGAAGAAGGGGGAAATGGGTTCAGCCTGCCTCCAGATCTTTCTCATTAACTGGATGGAAAGAGTCCGACGCATGGAATGCAGCTTGAGCAGCTCTCCTCCACGGTTTGGGGGGGGGGTACACAAAAGGTGGTGACTCTGATCAAAAGTGAAATGGTATCCAATACACTCATAATAACCCTGTATTCTTGCTATGCTGCTTACCTTATTTTTTATTGGTTGATTTATTGCTTTGCTCTAATGAATATATGCAACCTATGAGGAATGGATATATTTATATCATACACTTTATACGGTAAGTATAATCTAACTCAATATACGAATACAAATGATTGTATTAAACCCATGTAAAAAAATGTTTCTGCGGTAAAAAAAACGCAAATGGTAAGCAGGTTGTAGGGAGTGACATTTTTTCCGAAAAAGTGTTTTGGTGGTGGTGGTAGACCAACAGTTCAAAAGTGAATTAACTGTTCCTTGTCTCTTTTATGCACACGGTTTATCAAAGTTCTCGAAAAGAGTTTTATTTATTCGAGCAACGCTTATCGATTAATAAGGGTCTTAACTCTATATTTAACTCCAGACAAAAAAGATAAGTAATAAGTAAAAACTCAAACATAAATACTACTATAAAATCCATAATAGAGAATAAGGGTGACATGCTAAAATCTTCATCTTTGAGGCTAAGCTTGTTCTTAGTAATTAAGACAGAATTTCTCAAAATTCCGAACTATATATCTTACCTGGCGCGTGAACAGACTAAAGTGCACACGGATTATGTCTCTAAAGGGTTTGAGTTTTTAAAAGGAAAAAGCTTCATCGATGATCAGGCTACCGCAGAGAAACGAAAAAGACACAAAGAGATGTATGAGGCCATCCTACGCAAGCAAGCTATTCAATTACACGAGACTAAAATATCCTATGAAGCTGAACTTAAAAAGTTGGCGTTCAAAGAAAGGCTCAAGGCCCATTGGAAAAATTTAAGGCAAAGCATGCAAGAGGCGACGTCGACGAAGGCGGGTGTAATGACGCTTTTGCAGCACTGTGCTGCCTCACATGCTGCCGAAATAGCTATTGAGGAAAATATAGATGTGAAAGACGTACAGTTTGCTATAAAAACGCATCAGGACTCTAGCTCTATTGCTCAAGAAGCTACCGTAGTAGGCTACATCGATGCCCCAAGCGCATCTGAGGAGGAGTTTGCGATGTTTGTAGAAAAGCTTCAAAAAGCATGCCCTGTAGCAAATCGCATGGCCATCGAATGGCGTAACTCTTCTTTCGCTGATAGAAATAAGCAGATGGAATTTCCATCGCAATGGCCTAACAGCGACCGTGCTGCTTTCGATCCATACGATTTTAGAAAAGAAATAGCATCTAAAGGTGGTGAAAATGATGCTGGTATTAATAAATTCTCTAGTGATCTAAGACATGAGGGGATGTCCTTTAGAGATCTCAACGATCTTCAAGCCAAAGATAGTCAATCTAAGAATGTCGAGCGCAACACAGGAAAGTTTGAAAATCAACAGGATAAAACAGATCGTAAAGCAGTGCCCGAAGTTAGCAATCAGGGTGAACAACAACAAGCAGGATCAGAAGTGCGTCTACCTCATGGTACGCCTGGTGAACATCGTATGAACTCTACGGGAAACGATCTGAGGAATCCGTCTAGCTTGAACCATGAGGAGGTTCCTACTGCAAATGGAGACAAAAAATGCTAATAATGTGTTTGGAACTGAAAACAACTAACCATTACCACAGATTTTTAGCATAATCACAGTGGATCTGGAGTAATAAAAGTATTGTGGTAGGTTATGACCTTCTTTATATTGCGATTATTCTTATTTATCGGGTCGCCCTAATATTTGTTGATCTGTATGCACACTAATTTGTTTTTATTAACACATTTTCAAACTCTGTAACCTTCAATATTGAACATTGTTTAAGAGAACACAGTAAATCTCTATCAACTTTCTCCAGTTGGTTCGGAAATAAACCACGATTGTGTTGAAATGTCAAGGGGTTATCTTTCTATCCCACTCGGTCCTATATTCCCCTTTAAGAGGATGTTTTCAGGGGCAAATTTTATCAGTATTCCCATGTTGAACTTTGGACTATAACGTTTTTCCCTAAACCCCAATATGTGAACCCATACTGACTCTCTATCTCTTTCATATGTATACACTCTTGAATTATAGTTGCCAATAACTGAAGCAAAAAAAACTTAATAACTAATTTAATGGGGTTGTTCTGGAAATTTGACTGCATCTCAGAAGGGTTGATTTCCTCCGTACCAGTACCAACCACGGGCAACTCCATAGCCAATGAAAATCGAGACCCTGAAGGCCTTTCCATTCTTGGATCCCACAGCAACCTAAGAGGTGACACTTCACTCCAGTGTTCTGGTAATAAGGAATCGAACGGTCTAAAAGGGGAATGGATTGCCAAGTGCATATCCAGCAAGACCTTACTGGATGTGAACGGACGTGTGTTATCGGTTCAGGAGGCCAGATTGGCGACAACCTGGCGAACGCACCACGCGTTTAGCGCGCGCTGTGGGTTAGCGGTAAGCCAAACGACAATTTATTCTCCGCCAAGGACCCCACACACACCTGCGGGGATTCCCAAGCAGACCGAAACCCCCGAGGATTCCACCCAGACGTGTGGTCAGGCGCTTCCTTTCCGGGGGACACCGCCCTGGATGCTTCGGGATGCGCGATTTTATCGTGCGTGGAAGATCGACGTTTATATCCGCTCCACCTGTGCGGATCCACACATTTTGCTCAGTGTCGCACCCCACTACTTTGTCTATGGTTATGGTAATGGTGTGGCTTTGAACGGGAAAAGCGGGCCGCATCCTCCGACGGGGCAAAATGGCGACAACGAAAACGCTTTGCCATGGCCGTCTAGCGTGGAGGACAAGATCGCGTATGATAAACGGATGCTGGAGACACCACTTGTGTACGAAGAGCCCTACGCCGTCTCGGCCGCGTTCGGATCCAAGGGGATACATCTCTGGAGTGATCACTGGGTGCGGCATGGTGAGCGGGTCTCCAGCCACCGTCTTGAACCTTTTTTTTCTAAAGAAGATTCCTTCTTACAATCCTTCTCGCCTCTGTCGTTTATTCAATTCTCTTCGGATCAGGAAGGTGGCGTGTCGGGGGAAGGCATCACACGGAATGGATCTTCAACAGAGGGGACGCCTCTTGGATACCAAGGATTCGTTCGACTGCAATGGAGTACGCCCGACCCTTGTTCAGATGCTCAGATGGATGATACTTTGGTAGCGACGTTATCTGTTTTTGTTGGTGAAACTCGACACCGGGATTCACAAAAGGGTGATCTGGGTACACACAGGGATGCGGCAAACTCCTCCAAAAACAATCTTGGAATTGACAGCAACGATATAAAATGGCAACACGCCTTCGACAGGACACTCCAGCTTGGCCCAGAAACGTCAAATCTGTTATTTGTTCCGTATGTTACTTTACTAGACAGTGGTAGTGAGGTACTTATTCTTAACTAATATATTTACTACTTATCTATCTATACGCGGATGTTGTATACTTTTTTCTTGGTTGTTTAAATATATAATAACTAATAGGCGGGTGGTTTGCTTCTCTCGTCAAGTGTGCCTCAACTGCAATCCCTCTACACGACTTCAAAAAATAGTAAATAAAACTATTTTTCGTGAGTAACTGATTATCCAACTTCAGTTTATGCTTCTCTCTGTAATAATGAAAACTGTTTCTGGCATTACATGATGCTTTTCCCTCATAATATACCCTGAGGACAAAGAATCAACAGGTAACTTAATAAGTAATTTTTTCGTCGAACCACAATTATTAATTTGCTGTACTTTCCTTCTTTCCTCTTAATATTGGGTTAAAAAGCCTCTTTAATTAGCTTGCATATTATGGTAAGCTCATTCGCGCTTTTTTATCATCTTTGTGTAGTATAAAAAGTTAACCGAGATCGATACATGCATACTGAGATACATAAGCTTGCGATTTGTGTATAAATCTCCATGAATCCACCTTCGAACATTCGGTTCCGAAGTGTTCAATTAACGCACCTAACTCCTCCACACACTCGTTGGGCAGGTCTTTCTTCTTCAGAACCCACCCTTAATTCGAAGACCTCTAATGCGGTTGAAGGTAAACCCCATTCATCCTATCCAGAACATCCTTCACCAATTTTAATAAAATCCACCGTCTCAAACTATGACAACAACATAGATGAAAAATATAGTATAGAAGAGCCAAACAAGTCAGAGAACGTGACCAATTTCGAGAAATGGAATCAATTCGGTCTGGATACCAGCAAGTACCACTCCGATGACTCACCGCCAACGTGTAAACGGGATTCTCACCGAAACGTGCGAGAAGGATCCTGTGCGGCCATCGTTTCCTTGGGTGGGGGGGTTCCGCCCCTTGTTGAAAAGGCCAAAAAAAGCGCCCCAGTGAAATCAAGCCACCACAGCCCGCGCCAAGCTCAACCACCGGAAGTCCATAACGTGGATGCCGCGCCGCAATTCGGTCAAAATCCTAAAACCGTTTCGCCCGACGTATCGCAAAAGGAAGGGCACCTTTCTGACGTGGATTGCGGCCTGTCGGATGTCTCGCCTCTTTTATACCCAACATTGAGCCGAAATCTTTCCGAGCTTTCAGAAAAGGTCAATAACGCCCTGGAAAAGAACCGCTGCAAGCCACCCTCAAAGCGGTCTTCCCCCTTCTCTTTCCCAGGGGGCCCGCGCGGGGCGGGAAAGCGTAAGGGCAATCGGGCGAATACCGAAACCACCCCCACGGAGGCCCCGGCCAGCGCGGAGGATCTGGCGGGCAACCCTCGGAAAAAAGCTCGAACCGGGGCGGGCAAGCCCAACCTAGCCCCACCCCGGCAATCTAGGAAAGCCAACCCCACGACGGGGACTCCAAATGCGGTCGGGGAAAAGGGCGAAAAGAGCAAAAGCGGGAAAGAAAAGGCGCCGGGCGGCCGTCGGACGCGGTTTTGTCTTCAGGAGCCCACCGCGGCCGCGGTGGGGGGTGGTGAGGCCGGCCACAACGCTGCCGCCTCGCATCCGGTGGTGCCGTTTGAGCGGCTTTCCCACACCGACGCGCTGTTTACGGACTTGGAGGCCTCCCTGAACGATCCGGATCGAATTCAAGCACCACCTTTATACGTCGGGCTGCTCTATCAGGGCAGTCCTGGGCGGACGCCGAGCAATCATTCGCTCTCGGCGAATCTCCGCACCAAAGCCTCCATCATGCCAACCGCAGAGCAGCTAGACCTACCCGATACCCAGTCCAATCCCTCTCCGTGGCGAGCTCACGAGTTCTTGCAGGATGTTGTTCTTCGCTGGAAGGATAAAGTTTACGTGATGAACGCGGCATCGATCGGCATTGAATTCATTCTTTGCGTCCTGCGCGAGTTAGTGGGGGTGGAGTTGATCGCCTTCAACGCCCCCGCATTGCTCTTGCCGCTGCTATCCTACACCAAAGGCACCCTGTCCACAAAGTGCGTCAGCGACGTGCGAGTGATGGCATGGATGATATCGACTTCAGACAGCGGCGATGAGTTCTCTCAAGACAGCGATGCGATTACCGATATTCGTGTTTTAGCTCAGAATTGCCGATTTCCCTCCGTGGTTTCGTTGCCCTGCCTTCCCGCCGACGATGCAGACTCCCTGCAGAAGCTTGTGAACGAAGTTTTCTGCTTAGCCCCGGTTTACCGCGCCCTGTATGGTCAATTAGGCTCACGGGGCCTTTTGCAGGCCTTTTTACGCCAAGAAAAGCGAATTTCGATTTTGATTGCCGGCTTGAAGCACAATGGGATATGGGTTGACATGAAGAAGGTTCTCGAATTCAAAGAAATGTGCTCTGCGGATATGAAAAAGTGGAACCAACTTGCGACCGAAATGGTGCGGTTGCAGATGCCCGAGTTTAACATCCAGAGTCCTGATCAATGCCGACAAGCGATTTTTGACGTTTTTGATCTCGGCAAGCATCTAATTACCCCCCCAACAACCGCCGAGACCAACCTAGAGGAGCCTTTCCGAGCCTTCCCCGACGCGGCGGCCCAACCAACCCTCTCTATCACCAAAGGCGGCAAACTCTCGACCAACGAGGAGACCCTGCGGATCTTGGCCGAGCACCACCAGTTCCCCCTGTACGTCCTGAACTACCGCAAGGCCGCGAAGCTGCTCCAAACCTACGTCGACGGCATCCTGGCCCACGCCCACGCCCTCCCCGGCGCCCCCGCCGAGCCCGCCGAGGCCGAT